TCCAGGTCTCGCTGGATGGCAGCACAGCCTTCTGGCGTGTCGGCCACCCCTCCCAGCTTAGAGTCATCAGCAAACTTGCTGATAGTACACTCAATTCCCTCATCTAAATCATTGATGAATATATTAAATAATACTGGTCCCAGTACCGACCCTTGTGGCACTCCACTAGATACAGGCCTCCAACTAGACTCCGCCCCATAGACTACAACTCTCTGGCTTCTCTCCTTCAGCCAGTTCACAGTCCACCTCACTATCTGATCATCCAGACCACACTTCCTCAATTTAGCTGCAAGGATGCTGTGGAAGACTGTGTCAAACGCTTTGCTGAAGTCAAGGTTGACCACAACCACCGCTCTGCCATCATCCATCCACCGTGTTATTTCCTCATAAAAGGCTACGAGATTGGTCAAGCATGACTTCTCCTTGGTGAAGCCATGTTGACTGCTCCTCATAACCCTCTTATCCTTGATATGCCTTAAGATGGCACCTTGGATAAGGTGTTCCATTACTTTCCCAGGAATGGAGGTGAGGCTAACCGGTCTATAGTTACCCGGGTCCTCCTTCTTGCCCTTTTTGAAGACAGGAGTGACATTTCCTTTCCTCCAGTCCTCAGGCACCTCTCCCGTTTCCCAAGACTTGGTAAAGATGATGGAGAGCGGTCTAACAATGACCTCCGCCAGTTCCCTCAGCACCCGCGGGTGCATCCCATCTGGACCCATGGATTTATGGATGTCCAGATTGCTCAACTGGTCTTTAACCCATTCCTCATCGACTAAGACAAACCGCTCCATTGACCTGACTTCATCTGAGGTCTCAGCGGTACAGGGCTCTTCAGGACTGCCTCCGGCAGAGTAGACAGAGACAAAGAAGGCATTCAGTAACTCTGCCATCTCTGTATCTTCTGTCACCAGGGCACCCGTTCCGTTCATCAGTGGGCCTACATTGCCTCTGGTGTTAGTTTTATCTGCCATGTATTTGAAAAAGCTCTTTCTGCTGTCCTTGACCCCTCTTGCCAGCTTTAATTCCAAGGAGGCCTTAGTCATCCTAGCTGCCTTCCTACATCCTCTAGCAGCAGCCTTATATTCTTCCCAAGTGGCCAGCCCTTCCTTCCATGACCTGTAAACTCTCCTCTTCCACTTGAGCATACCGAGCAATTCCCTATTTAGCCACGCAGGTCTCCTGACCCTCTTCCTTGACTTCCTACGTGTCGGGATGCTCCGATCTTGAGCTCGGAAAAAGCAGTCCTTGAACGTCAACCAACTATCTTGGGCCCCTTTCCCTTCAAGCAGCCTAGTCCATGGGATTTCCCCTAGCAATTGCTTGAAGAGGCCAAAGTTTGCCCTGCTAAAGTCCAGGGTTGCGATTCTACTTGCTATTCTACTGACCCTACCACACAAGATCCTGAATTCTACCATCTCGTGGTCGCTGCAACCAAGGCAGCCCTCAACCTTCACTCCTTCAACCAGACCCTCCTTGTTAGTGAGGATGAGATCCAGCAGCGCACCTCTCCTGGTTGGCTCATCCACCATTTGCATGAGGAAGTTATCATCCATACACTGGAGGAACCTCCCGGACTGTGGATGGGTTGCCGAGTAGTCCTTCCAGCAAACATCAGGGAAGTTAAAATCCCCCACGACGACCACGGCCTGTGAATGTGAGGCCGGTCTCAGCTGCCTGTAGAAGGCCTCCTCAACTTCCTCACCCTGATCTGGTTGCCTGTAACAGACACCCACAATAGTATCGCCCCTGCCAGCCTGCCCCTTAATTCTCACCCACAGACTCTCAACTCGCTAAGTCATTTATCCCAGGGAGCTCCTTGTCTACACAGATCTTCAGCATGAAATTGGAGACCAGAGGAGGGAGGAATTTCAGGGATAATGTTTTGGTGTCTGTTACGGACTGCCTGACTAAGAAGACAGTAGATGATACAGTAGTCTTCTGTATAGAGATATCTCTGGCTGTGGAAGGTTTAAGCCATCTGTTCATCTGCAGGGATGGCTACATAGCCTGGTGGAAATAATCAAAGAACTTGTGGCTGTACTTGAGAAGGTTTCCTAATGCAAATGGTAGATAGGCTTATCAGAAGTAATGATTTACTTGAATTACACAGAGACACACAGAAGAACTGGCCAATACCATTACAAAAGTTGAAGTGACAAGAGTATAAATGTGAGCATGGGCATCAAAATGAATACAGACTGGCATTGCATGCTCATTGTAACTGAGGCAAATATCATCCTGGTCATAGTGGGAGGAGTGTGGGCAGCAGGTCAAGCAAGTAGACAACTCTGTCTCTTATCATACAAATAAGAAGTGTGAAAGACATTTCCCTTTCTATTTTTTTCATAGTTATGCCACTTTGAGAAAGCAGCAAAAAGTTCTCAATCCAAACTAATTTACCAGGTCCACAAAGAAGCTTTGTTTATGATAGAGCCCTTAAAATTTGTGCTGAGTACTGCTGAGAGAGTATAGGAGATGTCATGGTTTAAGCCTAGCCGGTAACTCAGAACCGCGCAGCCACTTGCTTACTCCCCCTCTTATTCCCCACTCCCGGAGGGATAGGGAGGAGAATCAAAATAATGTAGCTCCCACGGGTTAAGAACAGTCTGGTAACTAAGGTACAATATAAAACTACTACTACTGCCACCAGTAGTGCCTTATGTGTCATAAGGGACTCCATTCAGCTGGTCTTGGACATTACTGAATGAGAAACATGGCCAGTACTTTATCTCTGTACTGGCTCATGGATGGTGGCAAAGGCCCTGTGGGGGTGGTTGCAGCAATGGAAGCAGAGCAACTGTCAATGCAGAGGTAAACCCATCTGGGCTGCTGCACTGTGGCAAGATACCTCTGCCTGGGTGCAGAATCTGGTGATAAAGAAAAAAAGCTAAGCAGGGTCACGCTCAGTTAGTACTTGGATGGGAGAATGCCTGGGAATCCTACGTGCTGTAGGCTTTTATTTTTAATGATAAGGGGAATAACAAGGGGAGAGAATACAATTGCTCACCACCTGCCAACCGATACCCAGCCTGACCCGAGCAGCGATCTGGGCCTTCCAGGTCACCACCACCACCCCCCCCCAGTTTATATACTGGGCATGATGTGCTGTGGTATGGAATACACCTTAGGCTAATTTGGGTCAGGTGTCCTGTCTCTGCTTCTTCCCAGCGTCCCGTGCCCCTCCTCACTGGCAGAGCATGAGACTGAAAAGTCCTCGATCAGGGTAAGCATTATGTAGCAACAACTAAAAGCATTGGTGTGTTATCAGCACTGTTCTCAGGCTCAAGTTGAAAACACAGCACTGCACCAACTGCTCAGGAGAAAAAATGACTGCTACATCTGAACCCAGGGCAGGAGTATACTCATATTTAAAGTCATGTTTGACAGTGTTAGAAACATCTCCAACACTTCACTTAGTCCTCCTGAGTAATGTAGGAATCCAGTGAAGTTTTATAAGATAAAAATCCATTCATATCATCCTGTTGCTATGGTAATTTAGTGTTCATTTATGTGAAATTTCTTAATGGCCCTTTGTTCACCTGAATTTCCTTTTAATTCTTTTCCAAGTTACTCTTTAGTACCTATCAGTGAAAATTCTGTTTGGAAGAGTCTCATGTTACTGAACTCCTGAAAGCTCAAGCTTGCTTTACTAGTAGGCAAACTAGCTCATACACTGCATATAAAAGTCTGTCCAGGCTGGACAGACAAAATGAGTCTTCAGGAAATCTGAGCTAGTGGGGGAAAAAACTGTAAAGGACAAAAGGGCTTTTTTGTTTGTGTTTCTTTTGGGGGGTGTTTTAAATATGGGGAAGAGTAGTGTAAAAATATTGCTAGCTCAGCAGAGATCTGGTGCTTGCTCTTTTCTGGCAGCATGTGCAACCATTCAGATGCATCACTTGTAAGTAAACTGAGGAGAAGCAGCAGATTCTGTGGCCCTTTAAAGAAAACCATGTGTCATGATTTAAGCCCAGTTGGCAACCCAGAAAAAGACACGCAGCTCGCTCTCTCACCCCCCCCCCCCTCCTCCCCCAGCTCCCGGAGGGATGGGGAGGAGAATCAAAGGAATGTAAATCCCACGGATTGAGATAAGAACAGTCTGGTAACTAAGGTATAACACAAACCACTACTGCTACCACCAATAATAATAATGGTAAGGGAAATAACAAGGGAAGAGAATGTAACCGCTCACCACCTGACAACCGATATCCAGCCTGACCGGAGCAGCAATCTAGCCTTTCCAGTTAACTGCCCCCAGTTCTACATCCTGGGCATGACGTGCTGTGGTATGCAATACCTCTTTGGCTAGTTTGGGTCAGGTGTCCTGTCTTTGCTTCCTCTCGGTTTCCTCTCCTCCCTGGCAGAGCATGAGACTCACAAAGTCTTTGGTCAAAGTAAACATTACTTAGCAACAGCTAAAAACGTTGGTGTTATCAGTGCTGTTCACAGGCCGAAAGTCTGCACCACAAAAAGTCTGCACCACAGCACTGCACCAGCTACTAAGAAGGAGAAAAATGACTGCTGCTGCTGAACCCAGGACACCATGTTACTTGATGATTTAGAACTAGAGAGTCTAAAATCAACATGCAACATTAAAACTGTATAAACAAACAAGTGACTTGTCTGGCAAAAGGAAGATTATCCTGAATGCAGATTGTCAGTGGAGGTGTCCCTGCCATCAGTAGCTGATCTTCACTTTGTCTTGTTCATGGTATTGCAAAGCTGGAGCAGTTACCACCCAGATGATGTGAGATACTCTTGTGCAGTGTTCATACCTCCTTCTAACAAGAACACCAGGGAAGAAAAGTGATGCAAGTTAGCTGTGGCGATGCTGTTTCTAGCCAAGGAGGCCTTGGTGACATGACACAAAGACTGTTCATTTAGCTTACTATTTAAATGGTAAAGTATCAGAGTACCCTTTACTAATTCAGTTGCCTAAAATGTTTTCTGTTTTAATTAAGTGGCAATTTTTGAAATATTTGATTTGTGTTGCCATGTTTCAGCTGGAAGGTCACAATGAGCCGGTGGTGCTTCAGGTATTTGTGGGTAATGATTCTGGTCGAGTGAAGCCACATGGATTCTACCAGGCCTGCAGAGTTACTGGGAGAAACACTACTCCCTGTAAAGAAGTGGATATAGAGGGGACTACTGTTATTGAGGTTGGACTGGACCCAAGCAATGATATGACACTTGCGTGAGTAGCTTTTTTTTTTTTGCCTTTTTTTTTTTTTTAAAGAATAAGCGCTTATTTTCAGAAACTAATTTTCCTTTTTCAGTTGGGTGGGTTAGTAGTTAAAAGTCTGAACATCTTGGCACACACCAGGCACTCTCAGTTTATTATATTTAATTCTTAATCAGCTCTTCCTTAAACTTTATCAATTAACTGTTACATTATTTTCATGTCCTGTTTGATCAATTATGTGCATATTCAAGTATGAGATGAATTATAAGCTGGTCAGTGGTTCTGCTGGTTGTCTCTTAACAAGTAAGAATTGCTAATCAGAAACAAACTCTGAATATAAGTGATTTCATAATAAGCTTTTCACATGTATCTTAGTACAGAAAGGGAGTGATCTTTCAAATAATTATTTTCAACAGGTGTGTGGTTGAAAGCTGCCACTTCACATGGAAGCTTGTCTTGTTTCAAGAGAAGAAATGTTTATTCAATTGACAGTGTCCACTTCTTAAGTAGGATAATATAGTTTGCTAATAGACTGTACCAATTTGATTTTTTTAATGTAAAATATATTCCCATTATAACTGCTTCTTGGATAGTAATTTTATAATTGTCCTCAAGCATTAATGGAAAACCATATAAGTATAGAGATCTTATAAAGATTAATTTGGAATTGACTGGGAAGAAAAGTTTTGCTTAGGCTGTTTTCTTGAAAGGAATCTTGATGTCTCAAATCTTCCTAGTATTTCAGTGATGCTGTAGCACCTCCCTATTGACAGCAATGCCAGTGCCACCTTCTAAATCACTCTCCCCTCCTCTCTGCTCCCAAGCTGTTGCTTGTTGGCCCTCATACAACACAAAACTTTGTTGTACTCAAATTTGATATCAGATGGTCCCTGTACTATTTGGGTGTAGAGCCTAAGGTCCTGGTAAAATAACAATATCGTTCTTAATGCATCAGGCTGTGTTTGGTTGGGTTTTTTTCTGGTTGCTCATTTGCTTGAAATAATTTTGTATCTGGCATGTCTTTCTGGCCCTGTAGATGTTTCCCAGAGGACTACAATTATGGTACAGTGTATCTATCGTTTCCAAGGTCTGCTGAATATAAAAAATAATATGACTGCAGTATGTTTTCTTCTACTTCTGCTTTAAGTGAATGCAGAATATTTTGTAGTAATAATCCTACAAACCCAGATCTAGACACAGGAATGGAAGGGTGAAGACCCGTAGTTATATATTGAATGCTTACCGGAATGGCTTTGTTACATTGTATTTTCTGTTTTATTCATGCTGCTTTATTATTCCTCCCTCTTATAATTCATCATCCAAAATATGTAGGGTTGAATTGAAAACCAAGCTATGTAATGAGAAAGTTCACATAGAAATGTCATGTAAAAAAAAAAAGAAAAAGAATATTCCAGCAATTACTTAGAGTTTTGACTTATGGCCTATGTAATTAGTTGAAAGACTGTTAAAGATGCTGAACATGTTAAACTCCACTGTTTTCTGTTGTTAGGGTTGATTGCGTGGGAATACTGAAACTGAGAAATGCTGATGTTGAAGCTAGGATAGGGATTGCTGGCTCAAAGAAAAAGAGCACACGTGCTAGGCTGGTATTTCGTGTTAACATCACTCGCAAAGATGGTTCAACTTTGACTCTTCAGACACCTTCTTCCCCGATTTTGTGCAGTAAGTATCAAAATAAAAAGCCGGTATTAGAGGGCTCTGGGGTTTAGTGTGATTGCCATAAATATGCCTTAGGAAAAAAAAACAACACTCCAATGTTAAGCTGTGACTATTTTAGAATTGCTATGGCTAAGATCATAGAATCATAGGTTCATAGAATCATAGAACAGTTAGGGTTGGAAAGGACTTTAAGATCATCTAGTTCCAACCCCCCTGCCATGGGCAGGGGTGCCTCACACTAAACCGTGTCACCCAAGGCTTTGTCCAACCTGGACTTGAACACTGCCAGGGATGGAGCATTCACAACTTCCTTGGGCAACCCATTCCAGTGCCTCACAACCCTTACAGTAAAGATCACATGTATTAATTTTTATTTGGGGTGAGGTGTTAGTTAAATGACTGACCAGTATTTAAAAGTAGTTATGAATTTCCTTATCTTTTATTAAATGAACTTTTGCTTTTTAAAAAGTCAGGTTGTTCTTGTCATGATTGATTTGAACTTATTATGTGACTTTTTTGAGAAAAGTTTTAATATTTTCTGTATTGCCACATTCACTTTTGTCAGCTTTCAGTGACTAAAAGGACTTCTAATGAGTTAGTGAGCAGTTGTGGTACTTCGTTGGGACAGAGGATGAATCTGTTCTGGTTCAGTGCAAGAATTAAACCTTTTATAGTTCTTTATTAAAATGGTCTGTTTAGCACTGAGTACAGATGGCTGCGTTGACTGGTTCAGTTATGCTGAACAGGGAAAATGAAATTAGAGGAGGCTGCAGTACATCAGGGGCTGCCTGTGTCTGTGGAGTCTGTAGCAGCTTCCAGCTATGGGGAATTCTGCTCATCTGTCAGAGAAAAAATAAGGAAATGTGTTTGATACAGCTGTTGATGGGGTTACTGATATTTCTTGATCAACAAGAAGATAGGAGAGCTATCTGGAATCATAGTATGGTTATGCAAAAGCTCCTTGTGTTGTGCTCTTTCCATTGTATAAAAAGTTATTTGGTTTGGTGGGTTTTTTCTTTTTCTAAACCCTGTCAGTACCTATTGTGTCAGCTCATCAGAAACTGCAGCTTTGTTGCCAACAAAAGAACAGATTGAAAGAGGAGATAATTAAAATCACATGAGCTTCCACATCAGCTACCTCTATGCGGTTCTAGTGCTGCAGGCAGCAGGCAATTTGGCAGATGTGGCATGTGGTCTGTCCCTTTTTCCACTCTTCTGCTCTTGCAGAGAATCTCTGTGCAAGACTCAGGGAGAGCAGGGACCCTGTAGAAACCCTGGAAAGGCTGATAAACAAAGATGTGTCACTGCTGATGTGAGGGATCTCCTCCTCTCCTCAGCCATGTTCTGTACTTTAGGCAGTAGTTTGATGTTTGGGGTTTCCTTCCAGAACTTGAGGTGTTCCCATCCTTCTCTTTTCCTCTCCTGCCACTTTTTGCTAAATCTTTCTTTTCCCAGTGTTGTTTGAACTGATGGAGCATTCATATTTATGCATTTATGTTGTTAGAAAATACATAAGTACATTTGCTAGGTCTATGGTTGTCTGTGTAGCTCCATTTCAGTCAGGGCAGCTTTGTAGTATCTGACATTAATTTTCAGATTTAAGAAAAAAAACCACATTTTCTATAAAACCATTAAAAGCTTTATCTGTATGCATTTTGTTTGTATCATTAACTTACTGGTTAAAGTTATTTAAATCATAGCATAAATGGGAATAGAAATAATGTGGTGTTTTCTTAAGCTGGGGTTTGATCAGTTGATAAGAAATTCTTGCTAATTGTGTAAGTTGCCAAGAGATTGCCCAGGAATTTCATACTATCTCCATTGCTGGAAGCCTAAAACAAACAAAATACTCTGGTTAGACTCGTGTCTTTGATGAATAGTGTGGGTACAACTAATTGTCATGTGAAGGTTGAGGGGAATTCTTGAGGTGCTTCCAAGGGTTCTGTGCTTCTGCTTCTTAACTTACACCAAAGTTACAGTGATTTCCAGTAGACCATAGCCAATCAAACTGTGCTGGTATGTACATACTGGCTGATCCATATAGCATATAATGTTGTTTATTAAGTTACTTGCTTATATAAATCATCTTCTCAGGCACATTGTACCTGGTTTATTTGCTACACACATCTTATTACAGATATGTACTGTACTTTCTCATAATGAGGTTTACATTATCACTCATCACAGCCTGCTTATCTTGTGTTTTGTCACTAATATTGCTGTCAAAGCTGCAGTAATATTCCTAAAACCATAGGAAAGACCTTGAGTAGATGTAGGCTCTTTATTTAAGGTCTGTGTTTTATATAGGCTTTGTTCACTTGCTAGCAAACCTAAGTCCATTTACTCTTCAGACGTTCATGTGCCTTGAGTATATTTAGTAGTTGCCTAGGAACCCACTTCACCACTTGTAGAAAGATCCTTTCTGAAAGGTTATTAAATAATTTTGAGTGTTACAGTATGTATGTCCTACTGTGTAGTAAGCCCAGAGAATAGTATTATTAGACACTAAAAGTGGGTCACACAAGTGCAAAGCACGAGTACAAGTTTATGCCATTAGGATTTTGTGGTGAATAGAAATGGTGGTTGAGAAACCTTTATTAGAAATGGTAATTATTTTATATAATATTAAATGTGACAAAGTATTTTAAAATGCATGTCTATTTAAATTGTCTTTGGTGCTCATTTTCATCTAACACGTGGTCTTACTTGATTTATGCTTTACAAAGCATAGGAATAGTTTGCAGCAAAGACAATTTGTAATGTGTGTTATACAAGTCATCATCTGAATTGCTGGCTGAGAGGCAGAGGTTTCCAGGCATGTAGATCTGTAGGCTTCATTCTCTCTGACAGTTCATAGGATATCAATTGCTGTAATCCCCAACTATGAACATGTGACTCTTGCACGGATTTGTATTTAAGTATATAGGTCTAGAAAGTCACAGAATCACAGAATGGTTCATGTTGAAAGGGACCTTAAAGAACATCCAGTTCCAACCCCCTGCCATGGGCAGAGACACCTTCCACTAGACCAGGTTGCTCCAAGCCCTGAAACCAAGTACCAGTACTTTCTGGTACCAGCCAGAAAGCTACGTCATGTAAAAAAAACAACAAACCCAGGTAGCATGAGAATTACTACTTATACCCTTTTGCATAGAAGAACAAAACTGCTTCTTGTTACTCTTTTTTTCTTTTTTTTAACCTTAAGGATAGTTTTGAAGGTGTGCTTCAGCTGTATCTAAGGGCTTATTAATTTGTTTATAGCTCTCTATGCCAGGGAATTATGCAACCAAATTTTATTGAGCTTTAGCTCAAACACTGAAAATTTCATTTTGAGTAATAAATGAAGGAGAAAAAGGAAAATATTATTAGTGATTAATTTCTTTAAGTGTGATTTTTGAGGCCATCACATTTAGTGAGGAAATAATAGAAATGGTTATTGTCTGAAAAACTTTTTCATGAATGATATAGTAAAGGAAGAAGCTGAGGAATTATTTTGTTCTTTCCTTTATAATCCTGTAAGTAAAAGCTTTTTGTTTGGATGTTGATATTTTCTTGATTTCAAACTATGGGGTTTTCTTTCAATCGCAGCTCAACCAGCAGGTGTTCCAGAGATCCTAAAGAAAAGTCTGCACAGTTGTTCAGTGAAGGGTGAAGAAGAAGTTTTTCTGATTGGCAAGAATTTTCTAAAGGGAACAAAAGTGATTTTCCAGGAGAACGTTTCTGGTTAGTGTGAAAGCAATAACAGCTTGGGGTACTGAAGAGAGCATGATGCTTGGGTTTACATTGGGTGATAAAATTTAGTTGTAGAGACCAAACTGGCAAGCAGAATCAAAGGCACTAAAAGAAATGGCTTTATATGGATGCAAAATAAATTCTGATTTTTAACTTTCATTTAGATGAGAATTCGTGGAAGGCAGAAGCTGAAATAGACATGGAATTATTTCATCAGGTACTTCTGTTTTGTTAGTGGTGGTGTTAATATTGTTATATTTTAATAAGAAAAAAACACTCTTGACTTTTTCCAAAGAAAAATAAGCCTTTCCCTCTTCCTGTGCATTTCTAGAAATAATATTCCTTCAAATAAGTTCTTTAGTGAATCTGGTAGAATATCATTGGTTTGAGTTCACACACATATAACTGCTTAATTTCTAACTGAGAAATCAGATATCACAGTAGGAGTGTGGTATATGAAGCAAGTCTTTGCCCTTATATAGAATGTAATTTAAAGGCCTAATACATTTTTCCAGTAGATTTCCTAAGGACACGTTAGATTTCTACTGAGTGGAATTATATTGTGTACACTATAGTATTTATACCTGGCAGGATTTCTATTTCACTCTGAAATGTTTTACAAAATAATTGTTTCTTCTTTTTGCCACAACTAAGTGTCTTTATGGACCATTGGACTGAAATTAGAGAAATCATTAGATGATTTATCACTTCTAGTGCATAGCTGGGGAATAGACAGATCCCTCATCGCTATTCCTGTTGGTGAATGACTGCAGGCCTATTTTTTTATGTCTGCTCAGTGTTAGATCCACTTAGGTGTAGCATGAAACTGCATCATCCATCTGATCACACTGAACAGAGACCTGAGTTGTCAGAACGTGAAGTGTCTGAATCCAGCAGAATTTGATGGCAAACTGGCTGCAGTTCAGTAAGGCATGTTAGGCATAAGCTTATGCTTAAGGTACTGGACTTTATATGTCTTTCCATTTGGATTGTAGGTTTCCAATGAGCATCATTAAGGCAGATTATTCAAATCTCTCTTCTAGCACTAGTTATTTATCAGTTTCCTTCACTGAAAGTGCAACTTGATCACATCTCCCCCAATATCTTTGCTTTTTATGGTGTTTTATCAGTCTGTTTCTGTTTTGATGGATACGATACAATTAAGATGTTACAGTAAAAGTTCATAGAATCATAGAATAGTTAGGGTTGGAAAGGACCTTAAGATCATCAAGTTCCAATCCCCCTGCCATGGGCAGGGACACCTCGCTCTAAACCATATTACCCAAGGCCTCGTCCAGCCTGACCTTGAACACTGCCAGGGATGGAGCATTCACAACCTCCCTGGGCAACCTATTCCAGTGCCTCACCACCCTAACAGGAAAGAATTTCCTCCTTATATCCAATCTAAACTTCCCCTGTTTAAGTTTTAACCCATTACCCCTTGTCCTACCACTACAGTCCCTAATGAAGAGTCCATCCCCAGCATCCCTATATGCCCCCTTCAGATACTGGAAGGCTGCTATGAGGTCTCCACGCAGCCTTCTCTTCTCCAGGCTGAACAGCCCAACTTTCTCAGCCTGTCTTCATATGGGAGGTGCTCCAGTCCCCTGATCATCCTCGTGGCCCTCCTCTGGACTTGTTCCAACAGTTCCATGTCCTTTTTATGTTGAGGACACCAGAACTGCACACAATACTCCAAGTGAGGTCTCACGAGAGCAGAGTAAAGGGGCAGGATCACCTCCTTCGACCTGCTGGTCACGCTCCTTTTGATGCAGCCCAGGATACGGTTGGCTTTCTGGGCTGCAAGCGCACACTGCCGGCTCATGTTCATTTTCTCATCAACCAGCACTCCCAACTCCTTCTCTGCAGGGCTGCTCTGAATCTCTTCTCTGCCCAGCCTGTAGCTGTGTCTGGGATTGCTCCAACCCAGGTGTAGGACCTTGCACTTGGCATGATTGAACTTCATGAGGTTGGCATCAGCCCAGCTCACAAGCATGTCAAGTTCCCTCTGGATGGCATTCCTTCCCTCCAGCCTATCAACCGAACCACACAGCTTGCTGTCATCGGCAAACTTGCTGAGGGCACACTCAATCCCGCTGTCCATGTCAGAAACAAAGATGTTAAACAAGACCGGTCCCAACACCCATCCCTGAGGGACACCACTCGTTACTGGTCTCCAGCTGGTCATTGAGCCATTGACCACAACTCTTTGTGTGTGGCTATCCAGCCAGTTATTTATCCACCGAATGGTCCATTCTTCAAATTGATGTCTCTCCAATTTAGAGACAAGAATGTCATGTGGGCCAGTGTCAAACGCTTTACATAAATCCAGGTAGATGACATCAACTGCTTTACTGCTCTCCATCAGTTCTGTAGCCCCATCATAGAAGGCCACCAAAGTGGTCAGGCAGGATTTCCCCTTAGTGAAGCCATGCTGGCTGTCACCAAGCACCTTGTTGTTTTTCATGTGCCTTAGCATGCCTTCCAGGAGAATCTGCTCCTTCCAGGAGAATTTGCCAGCTCCTTCAGGACCCGCGGATGGATTTCATCAGGACCCATGGACTTGTGCATGTTCAGATTTTTAAGATGGTCTCCAACCAATTCCTCTCCTTCAGTGGGCCCAAGGTCTTCATTCTCACAGTCCCTGCATCTGCCTTCCAAGACTTGGGTGGTGCGGTCAGAGCCTTTGCTAGAGAAGACCGAGGCAAAGAAGTCATTCAGGACCTCAGCCTTCTCCAAATCCTGTGTAGCTAGTTCACCTGAGAGCTTCCTGAGGGGGCCTACATTCTCCCTAATCTGTTTTTTATTTGCTATGTACCTGTAGAATCCCTTCCTGTTATCCTTAATATCCCTAGCCAAGTTTAATTCTAACTGGGCCTTAGCTTTCCTAACCTGGTCCCTAGCTTCCCGGACAACATCCCTGTACTCTTCCCAGGCCGCCTGTCCTTGCTTTCACTTTCTATAAAACTCTTTTTTCATTTGAATTTTCCTCAGGAGCTCCTTATCCATCCAAGGAGGTCTCCTGGCCCTCCTGCTGCACTTCCTTCTAGTTGGGATGCAACACTCCTGAGCTTGTAGCAGGTGATCCTTGAAGACCAACCAAGAGTCTTGAGCCCCCCTGCCCTCTAGGGCTATATCCCATGGAACCTTACTAAGCAGGTTCCTGAAGAGGCCAAAGTCTGCTCTTTTGAAGTCTAGGGCAGTGAGCTTGCTGCACGCTCTTCTCACTGTCCTAAGGATCTCAAATTCAACCATCTCGTGGTCGCTGCATCCAAGGCTGCCCTGCAGTGCCACATTTCCAACGAGCCCTTCCCTGTTGGTGAGCACAAGGTCAAGCATGGCACCTCTCCTTGTCGGTTCCTCTATTACTTGCAGAAGGAAGTTGTCTTCCACACAATCGAGGAACCTCCTGGATTGCTTGTGCCGGGCCGTACCGTCATTCCAACAGATGTCAGGGTGGTTGAAGTCACCCATGAGAACGAGGGCCTGTGAGCGTGAGGCTTTTCTTATTTGCCTATAGAGTGCTTCATCTGCAGATTCCTCTTGATCAGGTGGTCTATAACATATCCCCACAGTAATGTCTCCCATCGCTGTTTTTCCTTTAATCCTGACCCACAAGCTCTCTGTTAACTGCTCACCTGTCCCCAGACAGAGTTCCATACTCTCCAGCCTATTCCTAACATAAAGGGCAACTCCCACTCCGCGCCTGCCAGGCCTGTCTTTTCTAAAGAGTCTGTAACCTTCCATTCCAACACTCCCGTCATAGGAGCCATCCCACCATGTTTCTGTGATGCCTATAATGTTATACCCCCGTAGACGAGCACACATCTCTAATTCCTCTTGTTTGTTCCCCATGCTACGGGCATTTGTATAGAGGCAAATTGGAAAAAGTTGGTCAGAGAAACTCTCTAAGACTCAATTTGGAGTTTTAGAAAGCAGCATTCTTTATTGCAGCGCTAGGCGCACACGCAAATAGTTTTGCAAAGGTGAGCGCACACTACTTGCCGACAGTAGCTATATATTTAGCATACTCATGCAGATTTACAGTGTTTCCAGGAAAATGTTTATATATTCATGAGATTCCCGGGATCTATTTGTAATATTTGCATTCTAATTGCGCATGTGCTTTCTTGCTGAGTGGGGGTCTCTGGTGGTCACTGACAGTCTTCCTCACTGCTTGCGCATGCTCACAAGGTCTTAGTGCCCAGTTAGCAGTTCTTATGTCCTTGCTTCTGTTCTGTTCCGATCTCACTCCATGATGGGCGCCACTGTTATCTTGAAGGCTGACATCCTTTGTCTTATTTACTGTCTCCTTAGTTGTTATCAGTCCTGTGATGTTCCTTCCCATCAGCTGAACATTCCTTTCTCTCTATGTGTTAGCAAGTTAGAACAGTGCCTATTCTACTACGTTAAAGGCACACACACACTGTTGTTAGTTTAAACCTATTATTTAAGTTTAAAAAGGTAAATAATAATGAAATAAGGTTTATAATGTGATTTTTTAATTATTTTTGAATTGCAGAATCACCTTATTGTGAAGGTGCCACCATACCATGACCAGCAAATAACCTCAGCTGTTTCTGTGGGAATATATGTGGTAACAAATGCTGGAAGATCGCACGATGTGCAACCATTTATGTACACTCCAGACACAAGTATGTGAAATATAAAACTGGAGGAAGGAAGGGGCAGTTTTACCTGCAAAGCATCTTGGTTTTGATTTCATAGTGTTTAGTCCATACAACAGAAATGTTAAGTAATGTAGATCTTTTAAAACTTGTCTTGCTCGTGATGTTTGCTCTGTTAAATAATAAAATCTAAAGGCTTGGCTTTTCTCATTTACATGGCAAGCATCTCAAATTTCAGCTGCATGGAGACAGCTGTTCTTAAAATGTAGCATCCATTTTTAGTCCAAGGTTCAAATTGAAGCCGAGTAAGAAAGAAGACATTACATACAGTGCACCAAATACAAAGAAAAATTAGCACCAAGCTTTATTCTGAGGAAAGTTGAAGTTTGCCATATCACTATATTTTTGTTTGTCTATATTACAATTCTTTTCTGGGTTCAGCTGTAGCAGTCAGCTCTAAGTGAGTGAACAGCTGTATGGTTCTGAGTTACTTGCTGGGCTTAAACCATGACAAATACACAGTCCAAAAGTTTGTTTGGGTTTCAAAGAACCTCAGTTTCTTTAAGATATAAGTAACTGGTTTGGTTTGCTTGGGGTTTTTTGTTTTTTTGCTGTTTTAACATAAGGAAGTTCTAAATGTGTTTTATCTCAACAGCTGGTACTCTGAATGTTAATGTGAAGAAGGAAATCTCCAGCCCAACCCAACATTGTTCTTTTGAAGAGGCTATAAAAGGTACTAAATTGATTATTATCATTGTTAATAGTTTAACTATAAATTTGGAGAAATGAATCATATCCTGTGAAGATAAGTTTGTGTTGATAAAATCTGTCTGTATTCTTAGTGAGGTTTGTTTTCTGATTCTGAATATTTTACTTTATAACAGTATTCCTTTAAGTATCTTTTAACATGAGCTAGTATAAAATAAAACCTGCAAAAATAGTTGTGGGTGGGTTTTATATTAATTTTTCATGCCTCAGGCCCTGCAGTCTAAACTTCATTTAATATGATTGCAAGTGAAGAAGAAAAAAAGAAGAAGCCTAAGATGAAAGTCAGTACAAAGGATTTAGAAAGAGTTTAGTGTGAATTTAATCAAAAAACAAACATAAAGGTAGTGATGGGAAAGAACTGAGTACTGAAAACATGAACATACCAACTGGTATATTTTGGAAGCTGTCCAGTGGTTTTATGAGACTGCTTTCAGTGGGTCTAATTAAGAATGCTAATTCTGGCAATTTCAACTTAATTCCCTTAAGTGAATTGTTGTGGGTTTGTTTGGTTTTCTTTTTTTCTTTCCTTTTATTTTTTTCTTTCCTTCCCCCCTCCCTTTGTTTTCTCTGTCATCTTTTTTTTTTTCTTTCCCTTTGTTTTCTTTTTTCTGAGCCATTCATTCCATGCAAAGTTTGTTGTTTTGTTCCAAGGTAGGAAGTTTTAGGTTTGCCTGGTTTTTACGTGTAAATTGAATTGATCCTTCTGATAGTGAAATAAAGTAGAGGAAGGAAATGTTTCTAAGTTGACTGTTAAAACTATGGTAGTATACAACAATTAATGGAAATTTCCATAGCCTGCTCTGGTGAAAGCAGGTTGAAGGTAAGCAAATTAACAATGTGATCACAAGTTTGATAGGAATCTATAACTTCAGGTTAAAATCATGAAGCTCATGTTTGAAGTTAATAGCTTGTTCTTGGCAGGGGATATATTTACAAGATGATTTTGCAACTTGTTAGGGAGGATAATACAAGATATAACGAGTTTAAACATGCAGAGAATACTTGGGAGAGAAATGTGCAGAAATAATTAGTTTTACTCTGAGGTGTCCCTGCCCATGGCAGGGGGGTTGAAACTAGATGATCTTAAGGTCCTTTCCAACCCTAACTATTCTATGATTCTAAGATACCAACTGCTTTGGAAGATTATCTGCTGTTCATACAATATGCTATTTCTGTTGCTTCATGTTCTCCATTTCATTTATGTGATAATTCTTAATTTACTTTCTTGTTTGGGTTTTCTGCTAGCCAGCTCATTTTGAAGGCTCATTTCTGTACCTATTCTACTCTAGGCTGATCATGAGCCAAGCAGTTCATTATTAGTTTTGTCTGCTTTATGTACTTTGTCTCTGCATATGCCCCAGCCTGTCCTTCTTCACTGTTCTGAAATGATAAAGGCCAGGTGGGGATCCAGTGAGATGCTCTATGTTGAAGATCAATACTCTAATTTATTTAAAAGTATGTATGGAACTATGCTTTTTACGGGCTTTCCCATTGGTTTGTTTTAAGCTCAATTTCAGTATTTGAAATCAAGAAAGTTAATTTCATTTACAACAAAGATAGCTTATGTATTTTTTGTTATGTGGATCAGAAAAAGTGAAAATTAAAACTAAGAAGATCTAATTAATTTTAAGAAACCAACTTTCTAGTTTAAAAAATTGAAAAAAATAGGCACTGCAAAGGCAAAATTACAACTTGCTCTTGTTACAGAGCTGGCATGCAGGTTTAGCAAGGTTTTGCTTCATTATTCCTTTAACAGAATAAAAATAGTCTGAATGCTTTGAGGACTCTGTTCACATGATTATCTGAAACCAGACAATTTTCAAAATTAAATAGAGAAGTTGTACAGTTAAAAGTGCAGTAAAGTTTAGAATGTGAAAATTTGTGGAAAGATGTCTTAAGCTTCTATGTAGTTCAAGCTGTCCTCGGTCTAGAAAGATATGAAATGGAAGAAAACCCAAACTATGGTACTTCTGTTAGACTTAAAAATAACCTTTGAAGGTTTTCTAGAATTATTTGAAGTATTAAAGTGTTTGCACTTGTATGAGGATGAGAGCTCTTATGGTAAGGCTAGAAAAGTGAAATGACAAGCAGGCCACCACTGAAAACCCACCCTCTTTATAGTGGATCTTATCAATCCATTGCCCTTCCTTTATTTTTATGTGTGACTGCAGCAGTGAAGGCCACTGGCTGGAACCTGGAGAAGGTCAACATTCTTCCTAGGGCCTTGATAACTCCGTTCATGCCAAGCAGTATGATTAAGAATGAAGATGTGGCTGCAATGGAAGTAAGTGCAGAAAAAAGATCTCCTCCTATCTTCAAGGTAAGTTTGATTGTGATCTGAAGACTGTAGCTTTATTAGTTATATCTACGCAACACTCCAGGTTCTATTAATAGAGAAGAGTAACGCACAGGAAAAATGACATGTTTGAGGTTGTTCTGGGCATAACATACAATCACAGAGAGTGATTAACTATTTAATAATAATTATCAACAATAATTTCCTCTGAAAGTAACTTACCTTGTTTCAAGCTCAATTCCAAGATTGATTGGTTAGTGGTACTATGATGTTATTTTTTTTTTTTTTTTTTGTCCTGTGACACTGTTCCAGGTTCATAGGATTCCTGTGTACAAAGACTGGACACCAAACACAATATAACCAGTCAGATGCTCTAGACTATTTATTGTGCTACTAATGCGAAGCAAATATACACTAACACGAAGCAAGTTATATACATACCAATCCCTGGTTGCATGGGATATCGCCAAGAAGGAGATGGAACATGTTGCCCAGTCGAAGAGGTGGTAGGCAGTGCATTGTCAGGGCATCCCCTGAATCAAGATGCGCATCTGACCTTCTCACCTGTCTGTCCCTGCACAGGTCCTTACATCCCCTCTCGGGTTGGAGTAGAAAATTGCCAGTTGCAACATCAGCACACACGTGGCCAGTGTGTGAAGAGATATTTACTGGTATAAGACTCCTTTGAGCTAACAGCAGTTTTCCGGGTTGGCTAACTTCCCTATTTTCAGGGTTATGTTCCCAGAATCCATGCCAAACACTACTTTTCCATTCCTGTGTGTTTCACCACAGACCATTATCTGTTGTCTCTGACACATGCCATCATATGGTCCGTGGTTGGAACACACCAATATTCTACCAGCCATGCTACAGTTTTATATAATATAATGTCTATAAGGGAACAGATTAATGCTAAAAGACAAGGAACACAACATAAAATGCATAAAACCCCAATACCTACTACTACTAATAATATAACAGCTTTTCGAAGCCAGTCCCACCCTAACGTCCATCCCTGAAAGGGGTTCCACCTGGTGTTTTCTGCTAGGTGGCTAGTGAGGGTCTTTAACTTTTGTGTTTGTGCATGTATTGAACTGGAGCGGTCACTTAAATTCATGCAACATACCCTGTCAAAGTCTTGACACCCATGCTTATGTACTAAAAGCAATAAATCAACCGCTGCCCTATTTTGTAGCATAGCATGCTGTATGCTATCTACATAAATTAATAAATCAGAAATGGCTGTACTCATTGTGTTGCTAAATTTAGACAGCCAACAGCTTAACTTATTAAGGTTAGTGAGCGCCTGAGCGCTAGCTACTCCAGGTGCTAACTAGGATGCTGCTATAATCTTGGCGGCATCCCAAAATTCAACAGTGTCTTTACAATCGACCAAATGCATGTACATCTCGGGGTCTGTGATTATACGTACAGTTCTGTTGCTGGGACCAATATTATTTAATATATTCATCAGTGATTTAGATGAGGGAATTGAGTGTACTATCAGCAAGTTTGCTGATGACACTAAGCTGGGAGGGGTGGCCGACACGCCAGAAGGCTGTGCTGCCATCCAGCGAGACCTGGACAGGCTGGAGAGTTGGGCGGGGAATAACTTGATGAAATATAACAAGGGAAAGTGTAGAGTCCTGCATCTGGGCAGGAACAACCCCAGGTTCCAGTATAGGTTGGGGAACGACCTGTTAGAGAGCAGTGTAGGGGAGAGGGACCTGGGGGTCCTAGTGGACGACAGGGTGACCATGAGCCGACACTGTGCCCTTGTGGCCAAGAAGGCCAATGGCATCCTGGGGTGTATTAGAAGGGGGGTGGTTAGTAGGTCGAGAGAGGTCCTCCTTCCCCTCTACTCTGCCCTGGTGAGACCGCATCTGGAATATTGTGTCCAGTTCTGGGCCCCTCAGTTTAAGAAGGACAGGGACCTGCTGGAGAGAGTCCAGCGCAGGGCAACTAAGATGATTAAGGGAGTGGAGCATCTCCCTTATGAGGAAAGACTGAGGGAGCTGGGTCTCTATAGTTTGGAGAAGAGGAGAATGAGGGGTGACCTTATTAGTGTATATAAATATATAAAGGGGGAGTGTCACGAGGATGGAGCCAGGCTCTTCTCAGTGGCAAACAATGATAGGACAAGGGGCAATGGGTACAAACTGGAACACAAGAGGTTCCACTTAAACTTGAGAAGAAACTTCTTCTCAGTGAGGGTGACAGAACACTGGAACAGGCTGCACAGGGAGGTTGTGGAGTCTACTTCTCTGGAGACATTCAAAACCCGCCTGGACACGTTCCTGTGTAACCTTATCTAGATGTTCCTGCTCCGGCAGGGGGATTGGACTAGATGATCTTTTGAGGTCCCTTCCAATCTCTAACATACTGTGATACTGTGATACTGTGACCACACTGCAACAGTTATATTGGGTGATAACAAAGTAAAGCCTACCAAGTGTGTAAGGGCCACCCTTGATCCCCTTGGAGGTTCTGGCCCACTCATGGTCACCACATATGAGAAAAATGCCTTCAGGGAAGGTCATATGTGTGGAAAAGCTCATTGTCCAGTCAGTTGTCATCTGAATGCACCAATGGGATGCATTATGGTACCATGGTTGGGTGGCATTCACCCACCATGTGACAGTGTCATTCTTTGTACTGTTAAATTTGAATAAAGTACAGTTATCTGCATTCAGAGTCCCTAAAATTCTCAGTTCCTTAGGAGGTAACACGGGAGACTTTTCCAGGTGTGCTAGATGTGGCAAGAATCCAGTGGTTGGACAGGTGTCTTTTGCAACAGTCGACCTGCAGAGTTCTCCCATTCCTCTTGCTGTAAGGGGAAAGCTGACCAGACGTGTCGTAAATGGGTTCTGTGGAGTGATGGTACTTAAACACAAGGCATCTTGTCCTGTTGCTTTAGCCCTTGACTTACTAACTCATGTAATTGGTGGACTCCTTTCAGTCCTGGTTTTGCCCTTTCCTGAATATACCATTTCATTTTAACGATGGTTGCCTCCTGTGCATGTCCTATTCTGTGTGTGGCAAATGGGGGCCAATGCCCATGTAACCACAGGCACATCTGTTCTGATTCGGAGAAAACTCCAGGAACAAACTTACCAACAAAGTTTTCAAGCTGACAAGCAGGTATTCTTTATTGCGGTGCTGGGAGACATGGGGGATAGCTCCTCCTAACGTGTGTCCCCATATTGCTATGCAAGCTGTCCTTATATAGTCCCTGGGCATACATACATATTCATGAGGCTACGTATGGATTACATCATTTTCCAGAGAGTTCCCCCCATGCATACAGAATTGTGGTGGTGGTCTCTGAGGGTCGTTTACTTCTCCCAACAATCTTCATCACTTCTGGCAGCCTTTGAAGCACATGCAGTAGATGCTTGTACCAGCTTAATTGGTTCATTAGCACCAGAGACATAATAATCCTCCTATCCTCCTACTTATCAGTTACTTTAACAGTAGCCTATCCTGGACACCTGCTGTTCCCAAATACTCCTTATCCCTGTGTCCTGTTCTTCTAGACTCTTTTTCTTAAAACTACGTCAACTATAACAATTTATCTTGTACAAGAATTCTCAGTATGTTCTCTAGCTGTACTCTTTTTTCTGTGTATCATGCACCTCAGTATTTTTCCATTGCTACTGTTAACAAAGCCATCAAATTTAACATTTCTTAGTACTAATTCTAAAGGTTTATATATTCCATTTTGTGATTTTGTGCCCCCCTTGTCTCAGTTCATATAGTCACCTCATGTTGCCTATGGTCCTGGCCTCTGTGTCAAGAAGTGCCCAGTATACTGCTAGCAGTGCCTTTTCAAAAGCAGTGTATCTGTTCTCGACACCCATCAGATGGCGTGACCAGAATCCTAGGGTTCTTTTCTGCCCTTCTTGTAGTTGCCATAGGCTGCATAAAGGTATGTCCCTTTCCAAGGTTACATTGTAGTTCTACCTGACTTGGCTGCAGGGGTATAACTCCATATGTTCCTGTATGGCTGCACGGATTTTCTCAAATGCAGTCTGCTGCTTGGGCTCCCATTCAGACTGGGCCATTTTTTGAGTTATTCTGTAGTGTGGCTTAAGAAGCACAGCTAAACCAGTCACATAGGATCTCCAATGCCCTACCGTGACAAGAAAATGCTGTACCCCCTTTTTATCCTCAGGTGGTAGGGGGTGGCAGGTTCTTATGCTTGACAAAGTCTTTTCAGGAATCTGCTGTATCCCTCGGGTCCAGGTAATAACCAAATATTTCACCTCTTGTGCAGGCCCTTGTATTTTTCTTGAATTAATTGCTCACCCATCCTGTTGCAGCAATGCGGTTACTGCATCTAATTCGTGTTATACCTGTTCCAGGATACTGTCCTGGATCAGGATGTCATCTATATATTGTAGGATTTGCACTTCATTAGGTATAATGTGGCATATCTATGTCAGATGGATAGCTTGGTGACAAAACATAGGACTATGTTTATAGCCCTGGGGAAGACGAGTAAAAGTATACTGGTTGACACCCCAAATAAATGCAAATTGATCTTGGGCAGCATGGAGAACAGGGATTGTAAAAAAAGCATTTGCCACATCTATTACAGCATACCATGTTCCCGGATGGGCCTGAATTTGATGTGCTAATGTTTCCACCTCAGGGACTGCAGCCATTATAGGGGGTGTCTTTTTATTCACTGTTCAATAATCTACAGTCATCCGCCAGCTGCCATTGGGTTTCTTTACAGGCCATACGGGGCTATTAAATGGGGAGTGCGTGTACTCGACCACACTGGTGCTTAACAGATCATTGACAGTAGTCTCGATCTCTGCATCCTCTGGAATCTTATATTGCTTGAGGTTCAGTATTTCTTTGGCTACAGGGATATCTGCTTCCTGCTGTATCAGCCCTATGGTAGTAGCTCTGGCATGTAGCCACCACATGGTACCAAAAGCCCAATAGGTACCATTGATATTCAGCATGGTGCCCCGTAAAATATCCATGCCAATTATGTATTCTTCAGTTGAGGCAACTATAACTAAGTATTCATGGGGATCCCAATCACCAATTTGCAACTTTAGTCTGGTCTGTTTCCCTACTACTGGTTGGTCACCTAGCTCCCACACGGGGGCAGTCGTTCCCCAGGTTTTATCTGGATTACCGTGTATTATTGTGACCTCTGCCCCTGTGTCCACCCCACTTGACCACCAGATGTGGTGAAGGGATAAGGGTTGCATCATAACACACAGCATTCCGGTACAGGGGCTTGGTCTGTTTCCTATTCACTTTTTACATGGGGTTGGGCATCCCTTTCTACCTGCTGCATTTCCTCCCAGGGATAGAGGGGGGAAGATGGGATAGTTGGTCCAAAAGATGGGATATCAGGTTTCCCTAAACCAGGGTATTCTATTTTCCGTACTTGCTTATTCCGTGGGTCTTGGCCAATCCACTGAAGCACTTGTATGGGCTTACCATCTGTTTCATCCTTGCTGACCCCACAGTTTAGAAGTAACGGGAACAGCCAGGTCTGCTTCCCCGGCTCTCCTCTGTCAGTTGCATGGGTACTGGGTTGTTTCTCCCCCTTTCCTACTCTCCCCATGTCCTGAGCTGCTTTGTCTAAGCCCAGTCCCGGTAAATCCCCTAATTGGCTTAGCTTTGCAATCACTTGTTCAGTGGGGTTTCCTTGTTCTGATAGTAGTATGGGTATAAGATACACCTTCCATCCTGGTGGACTTCCCTCTAAAAGTGTGTTCCACGTTCTGGGAATTAAGAGCTGTTGCATATGAAACTTGGGAGATTCCCCTAATATGGCTAGTTTCATGCCTTCCACTTTAAGTAGTTGGCATGCTTGCTGTAGAGTGGTCCATTCTTTAGCCGCAGGTGTCCAGGCACCATCATTAGTATATCGGTCTGACATCCCCCCTCCAACTACTGCAACCATGATGACACTATTTTGGTCCCCTATCCGACATAACACAGATTGTACATACGGATCAGAGGTGAGTCCCATTAATTTTTTCTCATCTACCCCATCTAGCAATGCATTATCTGCTCCTTCGTCCACGAGGCAAACTATTCAGTTCTGGGGTTTCTCTCCTGGCCTCTGCTTGTATTTATCCAATAAGTTCTTAATCTTCTCAAGACTATAGTCTGTCAATTCGTCTGTTCTTACTTGTCTGTCTGCCCCAGTAATCATCTTACATTTAAACAGAAGCTGTGCAGGCTCCTTCCTCTTTTTCACGTCTGCCTCATCATCGGTATTTGATTCTGACTCACTGGTACCCCAAATATCTCTATCACATGTCTCCGGGTCCCAGTCAGGATCAGACACAAGAGCATGGATTCGTGAACCCACTGCCTTTGTGCCTTTTTTATTGTTCTGTACTTTGGCGTTGTGAAAAGTGTATTTTTCTGCAAGGGTGGCACATTTTTTCCCAAGTCAC